AATGCTTCTTCAACTTGTCCCTTCTCACAGTGGCTGTCTATTAGGATGCTGTAGGTAACATGGTTGGGAAAGATTTCTCGAGCATGCATATCATCCCATAGCTCATTAGCTTTGGCCAGATCACCTTTTCTGCACATTCCATCAATCAAGCTATTGTATGTCACAACATCTGGCCTCAAACGCTGTTGCAACAGTGTGTCAAACAATTGCAATGCTTTCTCAAAATTACCTTCCCTACAGTACCCATGAATCAAAGTTGTGAAAGTGCATAAATCTGGTGTAACCCCTCTCTCCTTCATCTCATTCAAAAGCTCCTCTGCGTCAAGCAACCTGTGCTGCTTACAGAGCCCGTTCAACAGGGTATTGTATGTTACCACATCTGGCAGACATCCAAGGCCAACCATCTCATCCCTAACTCGTAGAGCCTCTGACATTGATCCAGCCCTACAAAACCCACCTATGACCATTGTGTAAATCACACCATCAGGCACCAAACCAAACCCCTTCATTTCCCTCAAGTACACCGCTGCATGGTCCATCTTCCCCCTCCTTGAGAATAACCCAATCAGGCAGCTAAAGCTCACCACATCTGGTGTAACACCACGCTGTTGCATCTCCTTGTAAAACTTCACCGCCGCCTCAGCCTCCCCAACCCTACAAAATCCTCCGATCAAAATATTGAAACTCCGAACATCTGGTGCAACACTGCACTGGTCCATTGTCCTGAACACCTCCTTTGCCTTATCGAATCTCCTGTGCTTACACAACCCCTTCAAAACCGAATTGTACGTCACAATCCCAGGCTTCAAACCCTTATTAGCCATCGAATCAACCAATGCAATTGCTGCATCCACATCTCCGGCACGGAACCTTGCATCAATCAACACATTATGTGTAACCACATCCGGAAAAACGCATCTCTTCTCCATCTCGGAGATGACAGTGTCAGCCCTATCGAACTCTAGGCTTTTACAGTAGCTGTGGACCATGATGTTAAGCGTGTAGGCGTTTACCTCGGAGTCGGACGAGAGGACGAGGCGGTAGGCCTCCTCGGCTAGGTGAGGCCACCCGGCCCGTGACAGCGCGGCAAGGAGGGCAGTGGATGCGGAGGCCGGGACGGGGACGCGGTGGCCGAGCAGGAGGCGGAAGGCCTCGAAGGCCTCCCGGGGCTTGCGGGACTGGGTGTAGGTGCGGATGAGGAGGTCGAACACCTGCGGCTGCGGGGTGGGGGACGAGGCGAGGAGGGAAGAGACGATATCGCGTCGGGAGGCGCCGCGGCGGCGCGACATGCGGAGGAGGAGGGACTGGCACTCCGAGGTGCGGCCGGCGGCGGCGGCGGCCGTCGCGGCGGCAGCCAGGGCGGACGTTGAGGGTCTCGCGCCGATTCCGCCGAGGTCTACGGCGAGAGTTCCGGCCGACCACTTGGTGGCTGCGGCGGCCGTGGGAAGGCGACAGGGCCAACGGGGAATCGCCATTAGCAACGGGGACCGGTGGTGTGGATGGCTAGAAGTGTCGTAAACCGTTTTCAGTTCAGGCTTACGTAATCACTGAGCCAAGAGGAGTACTTCCCCATTCCCGCCTTGTGCTCCCCGCCTCCCCGAACAAGCTCCCTGCGGCCGCTCGAAGACGCTCCCCGCTTGTGCTCCTCAGACGAGCTCCCCGCTCCCGACGAGAAGAGGATCCAGAGGCAGGCGTGGGGTCGTGAGGCCTCTGCCGTCGGCACCCGCGCCGGGGCGCAAGAGGACGGAGAGGATGGATGGAGGTGGAGGAGGTTGGAGGTTGGAGGCAGGCCGGCGAGGGGGCCAGCGAGGAGGGCGGGCGAGTCGGCGAGGACGGGTGGCCGGTGGCAGGCCGGCGTGGACGATAGAAAGGGCGGCGGTGGGCCGGTGACAACGGAGAGGAGGTTCGTGGGCTCGTGACGTTGGAAGAAGCGACGCCGGAGGAAGGAGGAGATCTGCGCCAGAGGAGGAGGAAGAAGGAGTGCGGCGCGGGCGGATGCAGGCATGCACCGAGATGCCCGAGAAGCACCGGGATTTTCCCCACAGTCCGCCGGATGCCGATTCCGATTTCATCAGGTGTAAAGAGCGCGGAGAGAACTCGGAGTCGGGAGCGCGTCGTTTGGGCCGATTCGATTTCGATTCCCTCGCTGTTTTTCACCAGAAGTCGATTCGATTCCTAGTCGGTTTGCAGTTAACTAGCGGCGTTAGCCCTTCAAATACCCAGGTCCGATCACAGATTTGGCAAGCTCGTACGCCGCCTCCGCCTCGCATTGCCACCACAAAACCGTACTTGCCAACTACTTGCCGACGCGAATCCCTGCTGTGCCTGCGTCCTCGTCGAGTCGAAGCCACCGCATGACGACGCCGGCGACGATGAGTTTCGGTGCTCCTGGTCCTCGTCCTGGCGCTGCTGCAGCCCAGGGCCAAGGCGGGAGACCACCCGCCGCGCATCAGCTACCAGGCGGCGGCGTGCCGCGCCCGCGGCGTCTCCAGTACACCGGGGTGACACGAGGCCCGAGCGGCGACGGGTGGATGGCGCGCGTGCTGGTGGACCCGGAGCGGGGCTCGTGCCGCACCATCGGGCCGTTCTCGGACCCGCACGCGGCGGCGCTGGTGCACGACCGCGTGGCGATCGCGTACCTGGGCGACAGGGCGCGGCCCAACTTCCCGGCGGCGTTCCACCCCATCGAGCAGCGGTTCCTGCGGCTGTGCCGGGAGCGGGAGGGCCAGATCGACGTGTGCGCGCTTGTGGCGGACCCCGGCATGTACGAGGCCCGGTACGCGACGTTCCTAAGGTCGGTGCTGCGGCTGAAGCAATGGGGAGAGTTCAAGGGCCTCATCGTCGAGTTCTTCATCAGCCGCGCGTCCGAGATAGGGGACGATATCCTCAAGGAGGGCGGGGAGAAGCTGGAGGCCAGGTTCGTGGAGATGCACCGGAACAAGGCCGTGGACCCGCAGTGGCGTGCCTCGTACATCCGCAGAGTCTTGCAGGAGCAGCAGAACCAGCAGCTGCAGCACAAGGTCACCGCTGCCGCCGTGCAACCCGAGCAGCAGCGCTGGGGCGGCAGTGCCACCGCTGTGCCCATGTAAAACCCTAGGAGGATCGGAGCTGTTTGTGTCGTGAACAGAGAAAATTGAGCGTTTGAGCATCTTTCCAGTTTAGTGCCGTCCTTGTGTAAGGTGCATCATCAAATTATTTGAATCGCGTGCTTGTTGTAATAAGCTGTGAATGTACTACCCCATCTTGTTATATTATATATTGACACCGTTGTCTTGTCTTAATGGAATGGGAACTGATCTGTGCTTTGGTCATTTGCTTAAAAATACTAGTACTTCCGAGCCTAGCTTTGTTACCATTCGCTGTTACGCAACGAGTGTGGTCAATGGCACACATGTCACGTGCTCACGCTTAACTGGCCGCGTTGTATTGAGCAGAAAAATATTAGAATTCTCATCTTATAAATAAAGAAAAGCCAAAAAGTTTTTGGAACAAGAAAAAATTGGAAGGAAAAAAACAAAAAGGTTTTGAGTTCCTAATAAGTTGCATTGGGTGGGTACTTCTGCCCTTTGTCACGCACAATTGCACAAACAACGCACTGCATCACCCAACTCTTCTCACTTCTTCTCCACCGAGCTGAGCATCGCGGGACTGCTTGGTTCAGGGCTGTGTTTAGTTGGTAAAAATTTTGGCGAAATGGTACCATGGCACTTTCGTTGTTATTTAGTAATTAGTATCCAATCATAGTCTAATTAGGCTTAAAAGATTCGTCTCGTGAATTTCGTCTAAACTGTGTAATTAGTTTTATTTTTTATTTATATTTAATGCTTCATTCATGCGTCCAAAGATTCGATGTGACAGGGAATCTTGAAAATTTTTTGCAAAATGAAGTGCAACTAAACAGCACCTAGGTTCACCGCCTCTCCCCCAAATGCTGAACCTTTTTATTTGCATTTCTATGTCCAATCCATGTGTTTTTGTGCAAAGCGCAATCCGTGGGTTTGGGTTGTTCTGATCGATGTGGCTGGTTGAACCCCATTTTCCATGTGAAAATCGCGACCTTGTGTGCCACACTGCCACTGCAGGGAGCTTTGTCTGTTTCAGCCTTTCAGGGATCCAATTGTACTCATCTGTTTAGGTTGACGCTGAGGAAATCCACTATCAAGGGCGGTCGACAGTTCCCCGTACACGAATTGGTCGCTCGCTGCTTCTGCTTGGGTACCTTCTATTCTACCTTGGGGATTGCAGTAGAACTAGACCTTCGCTGCAGCGAAGACGAAGCCACGGCTCCCTCTCTCCGTGGCTTCCGGGCGTCCGAGATTACGTGCGGGGGAGGCTGCCAAGCGCCAGCGAAGGCCGGCACTCGGAGCAGCCGGCGGCGGCCCGACGGGTCGCTCGCCGTCGTCTTCCCTGGCGCTATGGCATGCGACGTGGACTCGACAGGATCCCGGCGCAGCCAGGCGAGGAGCCTAGCGGCTAGCGGCACCCTGTTGCAAGGATGCGATCAAAATGGTTGGGATCGGTTACATTTTCTAACCAAACAAAGATCTCTACCACTCATCCCACTTTCTGATACCAGTGCGATTGATTTACATCTGCATTTACTTGGTCCTTTCCATTTCCCATTTGGTTCCTGGGGTTCATGTGCTGATCTAATAACTTCAGTCTGCTAGTCAGTGCGTAAATCCACCCTTCCATGACTCAAGCTTCCTTCGCAAATTAGAATAGCCGTGTGGAAACTGAAATGCATAAATCATTGGTCCCTGATGATTTTTTTACCCGTTTCATGATTTGCTGGTCGCATAAATGTTTGTTTTCCTTGATATTGTTAACGATTATCACATCATTGATGATATCATATTCCTGATTTGTAATTTCCCTTTCACCATGAATTTAAGAGGTGATTATTTGTGTCCGACAAATATACAAGGTGGTTGTTTAATAGTAAACATACTTGCAGTATGTGCCTCTTATAAAGAATTTAGTGTTTATTTTTCTGAAGGATGGGTTCTGCTGGCCAGAAAAGGCACACTAGCTCACCAGGGACCCAGTCCCAGTCAAACATCTTCCTTCATAATAAACGTCTTCGTCTTCAGTTTCTTCAGCAAGTCAATGAGTTGAAGGCTGGGAGTGTCACCAAAGATTTCAAGGCAATCATTGCTAAACGGCGTGAACTTTTTGGCATCATAGAAAGGCTACGACAAGTACCTATCAAACAGCTTTATTCCAGTCCACTTCCCAAATCATCCGATGCAAGACTAGATAACTTTGGAAAAATTGGGAGCAGTTATAGTCCAGATAATGTTATCGACTTGGATGCAGACGAAGACAATGTTGAATATCACACCCAAGTTAATGCAGGCAACACTGAGGCTGGTTCAACAGCTTCAGCAGTTGATTCAGGCGACAAGGACAGGGTTAAATCCTTCGGTGATGAGAATTCATCTTCTAATCAAAATGGTAATTACATCCAACAGAACCCGCTGCTTGAGCACCCTGTCGGACATCAGGAAATCATCAGGCCGGACAATTGCAATAGCAGTACTGAACCACAGGCTTTAGTTAAGCAAGTGAACGACGGCATGGATAATGACGATGTTTCTGCTGAGGTGCGTTCAGCTTGTGTGAATACACATTGTTTTTACAGGAAAATTGAAGTTGTAGATAATTTGTAGTAGATGAGGATACTGAGGATTCATGGTTTCCTTGATCAGCCAAACAGATTTACATGTTCTAGTATTTAGTAAATTAAATTGTGTTGAATGCATCCATTGCTAACTTGTTGCCATTCTGTTTCAAGGCCAAAAAGATTGTTCTATTTGACAGCCACAGTACTTCTGAGCAGCAGCCATTGATGAAGCTAGCACGTGGAAACATATACACTAATACTGAGGTGTGCTTTTTCTTCATATAAATATGAGGGTTTTTTCTCGGGAAAAAAGAAAAGAGGTTTACTTGGCTTCTAGCAATGATATGTTAATCACTATGGTTTATAATAAATTAGAGAACTACAACTCATTTTGTGCCCAAAAACTGGATCATTATCATTCCTAAGTAGTGTAACAACTACAAGTCGCTACTCATTGACCAAGTAATGCATGTATTGCTAAGCCTATGGTGTGTGTCTTAAAGCAACTGCATGTTGCCTCTTCTATAAAGTTGTTATATTCTTTATCCGATAGATCTATATAAAATATGTTCCTGATTTTGCTATATGGGGACACAAAATTCGTGTGTACTTTCTGCATCTTCTTCTTCATATAATATATGACTAATCAGGCTAAAAAATCATGACCTGCATGATATAGTATTGATTCTTTATAAACTGAAGTTTAAAGGGTGATAAATGCAGCCATTTCCACCCAATAATGTTCACCCTTTTCATTTGAACAGAATGGTCTTAAAGAGAAAGGAAAGATTGGAAGAACCATAGCGAAACATGTTGGTTCTTATGAAGTATCTTTTGAAATTCTACAAAATGAACCACAGAGCAACGAGGGTAATCACCATGATAATGGTAGCCCGGTTGATGAGCTGGATGATCTGTGGATGGGCATGTCAGTTGCACTTGCATGTTCAGAGGTACTCAAATCTAAAATCAATCTTTTTTTTTTTGTAACTATATCAAGTTAGGCCGTTCAAAAAACATCAAGTTAGGACTCTAGGTTTATGATAGGCAACCTCAGTACGTAGCTCTCAGTTTTCTTTGTGAATTATTTAGTTGCAATTTCGTGTCCACTTGTTGGTTCCCAAGTCCTCAGTGAGGCATTTGTTTTCACTAGATGAGTCCCTTTAGTCCAATCTTACTTAGCACCTCGATGATTTGATTAGTTGTCCAATCTTACTTAGCACCTTGATGATCTGATTAGTTGTATTGCAAATTTTGTGGTTATCACCCTTTTTTATCCTTTGACTCTCTTTTTGACGTTTTACCATCACAGTAGTACTGGATTATTTTTATCAGTACCTTTACATTTTGCTTACTTTGTGATTTGCTATTAATTGTTTTTTTTCTGTGACTTGAGTCTAACTCCATTTATTTGGGCAGACCAATCAAGTTAGTCTGAGTATAGTTCCATTTGAGAGTAACTCTGAGGAAACAGAGGATGCATGTAGCCATGACTTCCTGTTGAAAGATGATTTGGGCATGGTGTGCCGTATTTGTGGTCTGATCCAGCAGCGCATCGAGAAAATTTTTGAGCATTCATGGAAAAAGGTATAGAATTTATGGTCCAAAATAGTTTAATCAATTCCCTCTTTGTCAGAATGCTTCAATTACTGAGTCTCAAGATCATTTTCTTATACTATTTCAATCTTGGCTTCCTGGCAATCGCATCATTACTGATTGATATTTTATACAATAATTAGTGATTTTGTTTAGCGTTTATCTTGATAATTTCCTATTTCATAAAGCATCACTTTTTACTCTGTTTCTTTAAGTCATTTGAAATTTTATGGAGAAATTGATCTGTACATAATTACATACACTAAAATGATGTCATGGCATCACATAGAAAAAATGGAGCTAGTTTTATTTCTAATGAACAATTCCCTCCCAACAGTTTCTCAAAATATGGTTCATGAAAATTATATGTCCTTTCATCTACTCTACCAGTTACTACTTACCAATTACTGTGCAGTTTTGCCAGTGTTAGTTCATATGTTTGACAACTTGGCATAACTTGGAAGTTGTCTTATTGATCAAACACGCATTTTCATGCTGTTCCAAAAACTCTGTTATAATGTGTTTCTGAATGAAAGCAAAACATAGACAGAACTTAAAAGTCCGTTTCCGACATCAAGTCCTATTCAATTTCTCATTTGCAAAACTTTTTTCAAGTTTTATGTTGAATGCAGTTATTTCTGTTTCTTGAATCCCTAGTTTTCCACTCTCTTTTTTGTGAGTTAGCACATCCCATTTCTCATCTTTTTTTTTCTTGCATACACCAGCGCAATCAAGCGTACAGAACGTACCCCAAAAAACAAAGAAACTCTAGTGATCCAGATGCAACTATGAATGCTCTAGGAACTATTTTAAGTGTTGCACCTGATACTCTGTCAATGCACCCTCAACATTCAGAACAGATGAAACCTCACCAAGTGGAGGGTTTCAATTTCTTGATTAAGAATCTGGCAGATGAGGACAACCCAGGAGGGTGTATTCTAGCACATGCGCCTGGTTCTGGAAAGACATTTCTGCTGATTAGTTTTGTCCACAGCTTTCTGGCCAGGTACCCTGCTGGGAGACCATTGATTATGCTTCCAAAGGGTATATTGGTGTTAGAGTACGTCATGAGCCTATTGGGTCTGGGCTAGCGGTATAGCCCGCTATTGTTAGGATTAATTAGAGATAAAGGTCGCTTGTTTAAGGGTCAAGTAAGCCTTACTTGAAAGTCAAGTAAACCTCTCTATATAAGGAGAGGAGATATATTAATCTAATCAAGCGAGAATTAAGAAGGAAATCCCTTCCCTCTTGCTCGGCCGTGAGCAAGGCCCCCGGCCTCCCTCGCAGCCCCAGCCGCCACAATTGTGGATGTGAACAGTACCCGATTTACTGTAGCTTCGCGGGTACTGTAGCCACCACATAAAGATCTCTGGTTTGATCATGTCCAGCCCTCTACCGAGTCCTTCCCACCCGCCGCCGCCAGCGTCTTCGTCGGCGCTGCTGCCCCACACATCAACCGCGCCGGCATTAGGCGCGCTGACGTCCTCAGGGGCGATCGCGCCCTCTGCCCCGGCGCCGTCGTCTCCCGCCGCCCTCGTCCTCATCCCAGAGCAGATGACGGCCGCAATCCTGGAATTAGGACAGGCCGTGGCGGGCATCAGGGCCTTCCTCGTCGGGCCTTATGCGCCCCAGCCGCTGCCCCAACTGCCACCTCCTCCGCCGCCACACCAACAGCAGCTACCCCCGCCGCCACCGCCCTCGGCCGCGACCACGACTCCGGTCATCTCGTACCAGTATGGGATGCCCTACGACGGGACTGCGACGACCTCGTTCCCAGCCGCGCCGCCGCCATCCAAGGGCGTGCCCATCCATCTACTGCGGATGCCGCCCTCCCTGTCGCCAATCCCATCTTATGCCCTGGCCCCGACGGTAGGGCTGGTGTATACAATGGCAACGTTTCCGGCGACCACGACGTTGGCTGCCCCAGCCCCTACCACAGGCGCCACGATCCACTACGGTGGGGCGGTACAGCAGCCCTCCTACACCGAGGGGTTTTTCTATGGAGGCGTTGATGGCCCTCTACTCTACGGCGGCAACATGCAGCACCACCACGGCGCCTCGTCGTTCGCAACCTTTGCTCCAAAACCAGCCGCTCCGGGTGTTAGCCACGGCGCTCACCCTACGCGCTTCTACAAGTTGGAGTTCCCAATGCCAGGTTCCGATGAGCCACTGTCGGATCCCTTCGCTGAGAAGATGCTTACCCGCCAAGTGTCGGCTGTGGTGCGGCTGCAGGCTGCTACGCGCGGCCTCCTAGCACGTCGGCGGGTGCGGGAGATGCGCGATCTGCAGCTGATTCAGCCCTGCACCCCTTCGCAGCTCCTCCACGTTGCGCTTCGCTGCGCGGAGGACCTCGATCTCGTCAGCTGCGTCGGGGATCTCGGGCATGCGGTTTCCCCCACGGGTGGCGGAGATGCTATTTTCCCTGCGGGCGGCGGTTGGGGAGGCGCATCCCTCCACCTCGTTCTCCATCGAAAGCCCTCCGCTCTTCTCTGTACGGTGCAGACCAGCAGCCGTCTAGCGGGGAGAAGGCGTGGGGTCACCAGCGAGAGCGCACCGCGTAGCGCCGTCGCATTCTGCCACTGGCCGCCGCGAGGGCGCCTCCGCTGGTCGCTGTTGCGACCACTTCCAGGTGGCCATACACATGCACCCCTTTCGTCTAGATGGTGTCCATGGGATCCAGGCAGTGGCGGATATAAGCCTAGGGCCACTATGGCCACGGCCCCAGGCGTTGGGTCGGTTTCTCTACACTGTAGCACACTGTTCCAAAGAGGCCCAATTAATCTACCAAAATGAGCCCATGGAGTGGCCCCAAGCGTTGGGTCAGCCCAGCTCCGCCACTGGATCCAGGAGGCTGTACACATGCAGGTTTGGCGTGCGGATGGTGTCCACCTTATGTTCAGGAGTTAAAAATAAAGATTCCCAGTCTATTTCAGGTTGAGAATAATAAAATAAGCCAAGATGTAAAAGGCTTGTTTTTATGTGTTAGGAGTCGAGTCAGCGTTATAAGTTCGTTAGGTTACAGCTCGAGGACGAGCTGCATGTCCAGGTGGGGTGTAGTGTTAGAGTACGTCATGAGTGATGAGGACATGACACCCATGCATATGACTATATTTGGCATATGATATGGAGGGGAAGGAGGCCAGCAAGGGTGTCCAAGTCAAGGAGGCCCGAGGCTAATTCGAACTTGAGTTGCTTTAGGCCTCCACCTCGGGGACTCGAACCGAATTAGCCTCAGGCCTCCTTCTTGACTTGGACACCCTTGCTGGCCTCCTTCCCCTCCATACCATATGTCAAACATGGTCATATGCATGGGTGTCATGTCCTCATCAATGAGCCTATTGGGCCTGGGCTGGCGGTATAGCCCGCTAGTGTTAGGGTTAATTAGAGATAAGGGTCGCTTGCTTAAGGGTCAAGTAAGCCTTGCTTGGGAGTCAAGTAAACCTCTCTATATAAAGAGAGGAGATGTATTAATCTAATCAAGCAAGAATTAAGAAGGAAATCCCTTCCCTCTTGCTCGGCCGTGGGCAAGGCCCCCGGCCGGCCTCCGGCCTCCCTCGCAGCCCCAGCCGCCACAATTGTGGACGTGAACAGTACCCGATTACTGCAGCTTCGCGTGTACTGTAGCCGCCACATAGCAATTGGGAACATGGAAAAGTGAATTTCTCTGTTGGCAAGTTGAGAACATTCCTTTGTATGATTTTTACTCCTCCAAAGCTAGTAGCTGACCTGAGCAGCTGAAGGTTTTGAAATTGTGGGAAGAAAGCAAAAACGTATTGCTGCTTGGCTATCAACAATTTGCACACATAATTTCTGACAACTCTTCTGATAGAGAAACCATAATGTGCAAAGAGAAGCTGCTGAGGGTCCCAAGCCTTGTAATTCTAGATGAAGGCCACACCTCGAGAAATGACCAAACAGACCTGCTCAATGCACTTGAAACTATTCGAACTCCTCGAAAAGTGGTGCTCTCAGGGACCCTGTTTCAGAACCACGTAAGTGAGGTTTTCAATATTTTGAATCTTGTCCGACCCAGATTCTTGAAGATGCAGAGATCACGTGCAATCATGAAGGGTATACTGACTAAGGTGGACATGTCAGGGATGGCTATGCGGTCGAAAACCATATCAGAAAAGGTTTTCTATGAATTGATTGAGGAGAATCTTCAGAAGGATTCCAAAACAATGCGGGTGATGATTATCCAGAATCTACGCAAGCTAACTGAAAATATTCTCCACTACTACCAAGGTGAGATCTTGAAGGAGCTACCTGGACTTGTGGATTTCACAGTTTTGCTAAATATGAGTAGCAAACAGGAAGATATCATCAAGGGTTTGGCAGGACTGAAAAGATTTGAAGCACATGCAAAATGCAATGCTGTTTCACTTCATCCATGCTTAAAGGATGTCAAGATTGTTGACAAGAAAAATAGAAACATCAGCAAAAGGATGATGGATTCAATTGTATGTGGAATTGATATCAGTGATGGGGTGAAGGCAAAGTTCATACACAATCTGTTGTCACTTTCAGAAGCTGTAGGAGAGAAGGTACTTGTGTTCAGCCAGTATGTTCGCTCTCTTCATTTCTTGGAAACCTTGTTCACCAAAATGAAAGGATGGAAGCCAGGAGTTAACACTTTCCTGATGGATGGCAGTTCAACTCAAGAGCAGCGAGAGCAAGCAATTGAGAGGTTTAACAACTCACCTGAAGCTAAAGTCTTCTTTGGTTCCATCAAGGCTTGTGGGGAGGGGATCTCCCTCTTTGGTGCATCCCGCATTGTCATTTTGGATGTTCATGAGAATCCTACTGTGATGCGCCAGGCAATCGGACGGGCATTCAGACCGGGGCAGTCTAGAGTCGTGTACTGTTACCGCCTCGTTGCTTCTGGCTCGTCAGAGGAGGAGGATCACCACACCGCCTTCAAGAAAGAGCGAGTGTCGAAGCTGTGGTTCGAGTGGGATGAGCTCTGCAGCAACGAGGATTTTGAGCTGGCCAAGGTTGATGTTTCAGACTGCAAGGACATGTTTCTTGAAAGCCCTGCACTACAAGCAGACATCAAATCCCTATTTAAGAGGTACGTCTTGGTAATTAATATGGATCTAATTTCACCTTGTGCTAGTAGAAGGTTGGACGTATTAATGAACACACCATTTTCCGCATTATGCAGGTGAATGTGGGCGTTGGATGCTGACAAAGTGACAAGTGACTTTACATTACAGTTGACTAGTCTAAATGCTGGACAGCAGTACCGCAGTGGACAAGTTATTAGTTAGGAAAGTAATAAAGTGAAGCATTACAGAAGTGTTTGGCAAATCTGGTGCAGTGTGTTTTTGTATAAAGTTGTGCAAATATATTAGGCATTAACACTTGCGAATGTAAGAAGTAACTGCTTTTGGTTTACATCTTGTGTTTGTGAAACGTGACGAACTGATGCTAAATTTACCAGACATACTGGTTCTGTTGTCTGTATGACAAACGGCTGGATACATGAGATAAGAAGACATATATTGCCGTGCTGCCAGTTTGTTGTGACTGAACCAACATTCAGGTAGCCATGGAAAATTATAATGTGTCGGTCTTTTCTCTTCTGATGATGATGAAATCATATATATCTGCTCTATCAATTCATCTGGGAAGAAAATGTGCTCTGTGCAGTACTTTGAGAAACCTCCCGCATGCAATATTTACATGCCTGAATCAGATGAATTCCATACTTGTTCATAAATCAGACGCAGCGCGTCAGTCTGGTCGCTGCTATACACGAGCCACCGCTCGATCCGGGCGTAGGCCGAGGCGGGCCCTGAAGGTTATCGTGGGCAATATGGTCACGGTTGACGGCCCGGCCCAGGGATGTTTCGCCTTATACACTCTCCTGGGCTTATTCGTGGGCCGCCTGGTCACGATCGGTGCCAGTGGCACAGGCTGACGCGGAGATCGACTCGCCGGTCGTCGTCGTCGCCGCCGCCGCCGCCGCCGCCATTGTACCTCGGAAGTCGGAACGCAGCTCCATCACAAAAGAGCCCTACCTCCCGCTGCAGCATCAATGTTGTATGAATTCCTCCTACTTTTTTTTTGTTATAACCCCCGTCCACGTATCTTCGTAAGCTTTTCAGAGGTATGTATCTGTCCGGTGGGATTGTCTCAATTCAGATTTCAGAGCGATTGTTTTCTTTGAATCAGGATAGACTATACAGCTCGCTATAAACTGAAGAATCGGCCTGCACAGCCCTCCATCCGCTGCAGCAGCAAGGTGACTCTTTTATGATCTTATTATATTATCGATTGATCTTTTTTCAGACGTTGTGTATCAATTCAATGCTATATAGATTAAATGAAAGGATATAAAGGTGCAGAATTCTGAACGTTTGCGTACTTGCAATGCAACGTCATTTCTGTATATACAAAATTTGATGACCTGCAATATCTGTCTCAAATCAGATGTCACAAGAGGTTCAAATCATGGACTTATATATAGAGTAGTATGTTTCTGCATTGTTGTTAGAGCTGAACTGAACAACTGGTACAATACAAAACATGAAACATTTGTGTCTACAATCTCCGAAGGAGCCTACTCACTTGATCAGGTCCAATTGGACCAATAAGCAACAACAACACATCATATCTGGACTTGAATCATCAGTAGACGAATCTTCAAGCTACCAAAAATAGTACCAATAGTCTAATCTTCTTTACAGCAATAACCTACACTTTATACCACACCTCATATTATCATATACAGTTTTGTATACCTTAATTCCCCCACTGCCACCTCACTTACCACCCCTGTATATATGTATGTATGCTTGAACTTACTCGTTAATTTGAAATTTGAAAGTGAAACCATGTACCATGCATGATGAAGTGTGATCATCGTATACCCGCGGCGGCGCCGGCCGGCCATCCCAGGCTTCTGACGCCGTCCGCGTTATTCACCACTCGCCGGCGCACCCCGGTTGTCCAGCCGCCTCACGCGACAAAATCGTGCAGCAGCTGCGACGAGCCGAACCGCTGCCTGTCCTCGGCGGAGCCGTTGATGAACTCGAAGTCGCCGTCGTTGCCGTACAGGAGGCCCTGCTGCTCGGCGGGCACAGCGCCGGCGTCGTTGCAGTGCTGCAGGCCCAGCGTCAGCGACACGCTGCCGCCGTCGTAGCCGCCGAGGCCGGCCATGTCGCCGTACGCCTGCACGAACCTCGCGTCGCCGCCGCCGTGGTGGTGCGCGAAGGCCTCCTGCAGGCCGCCGCCGCCGTTGCCGACAGCAGCGCCGAGGTTGAGGCTGGTAGCGTACGGGCTGATGGAGCCGTCGAGGCTGGACAGGCCGACGCCGACGCCGGCGGCGTCCATGCCACCGATTGCCTCCGACTTGAACGCGCTGAGGTGGTGGCCTGCTGCTGCGGCGCCGTGCTTTGCGTTTGCGGCGCTCGACGGGCTCTGGAACTCCTCGTGGTCCTCCGAGGATATCGCCTCGTCCGCCTTGCCCTTGTTGCCCTGCGCGTTCTCCGACGATGAGTGCGAGTCCATCTCCGCCCCGAATTCCTCCTTGTACATCTCCTCGATCATCGGCTTCCACAGACGAACGCGCGCGTTGATGAACCAGTTGGACACCTACATCACATACGTAAAGCCACGCAGCAGCAGCTCGTATTATTAGTAAGGAGTAAGGAGCAAGGGCCATGTAGAAGGAGATCGATCCAGTTCGTGTCTCTCTAGCTCACCTGACCCCTAGACAAGCCTGTCTGCCTAGCGAGCATCAGCTTCTCTGAATCTTTCGGGTACCTGTGTGTGTTATCGATCGATTCGATCATGGAGCATTGGTGAGCACGTGAGTGATATGGATACACGATCGATGGAGAAGAAGGTTTAGGTTGCTACGGCCTTACGGGTGGAGGAAATGCTCGAAGAGCCAGGCGCGGAGCACGGAGACGGCGGACTCCGGGAGACCACGCTGGGGGCGCCAGGCGTGCTGCGGCTGCTGCATCATGCCGAACTGCTGCATGGCGCGCTGCTGCCGCAGCTGCTGGTCGATGTAGCGCAGCCGGGACAGCCCACCGCCCTGCGCCGAGGTGTCCTTCTCGCCCAGGCTCCGCCGCAGCGACTGCACCTGCGCGCCGACGGCGTCGCGCAGCGACCGGAAGTGACGGGAGATGGTCTGCAGCGCCAGCGCCGTGTACGGCCTGGCCGCGCCGGCGCCAGCCACCGCGTCGAAGGACGACATCACGATCTGCATCTGGTGGTGGTAGTGCCTGTACTTGCGGTCCACCTGTCATGGTCACCCAATGCAAATTACCCTCCGTCTACGTCAAGTTCTGTTCTTGTCCCAACGAACAAACTACGAACGAACTCAGACTCACTTGCAGTCGCAGCAAAACAACTACAGCATGCACTGCACCACGTAACCATGAGAATGAACTCACTCAGCAGCAGTGACAGGAAAAAAAATTACCTGATCCAGCAGCGCCATCAGTGCCGACACTTTGTTCTGAAGGTCCGCGGAGGAGTTCCCCTCGTGCTCGTCGGCCTTGTCGTCGCTCGTCTCGGCGTCCTTGCCCTCGCCGCCGGAATCCTTGCCCTGCTGGTTCTTGTCTCCCTTGCGTTTGATCGCGTCCCGGGCATTGACCACCTCGTCCAGCAGCTCCCTCGCGGCCTTGAGGTACCTGGAGTTCTGAATGTAGATGCCCTGCGCGTTCCTGTTCGCCGTCGTCGACGCCTGGTTCGGGCTCAGCAAGGAGGCGGCGGCGGCCATGCCTGCCTGCGCCTGCCGGTACTGGTAAAGAGACACCGGCACTCCCTGCGTGCCAAGGCTAAGCGACAGCCCCTGGTGCTGCGCCGCCGCCGACGCGTTCGCCATGAGCAGCTGCGTCTGCAGGCCCATCTCGGCGCCGCTCGCCGGCCCGTCCCTCGCGTTCACGTTCACGAACGCGCCCGGCTCGTCCCTGCCGTCGTCACCGCCATGGCCATGCGCAACGTGGCCTTCCGACACGATGATGGCGGGGAAAGGCACGAGGCCGCCGGCTGGTGAATCCGAGTACGTGTAGTGGTGGAACGACATGTCGCCGCCGCCTCCGGCGAGGTCCCTCTGATTCGTGGAAGTGGAGAAGAATGTGGCCATCGTCTTCAGAAGCACAAGATGAGGCCGGCTGACAGATCGTTACAAGGATGACGGGAGATAGTGACTGTTTTTGTCATCAGAATCAGATTGGTGTTAACAAAGCTTCAAAGATACTGTATGCGGCTCCAAGATAACAGCTGGCTGCAAAAGAAAAAAAATTGCAGATTCCAAACTATTAGAAATTCGGCTTTGCTGCATGTAATTGGAGACAAAAGAAAAAGAAAGGGATAGTTTCTTTAAACATTTATGATTGAATCAGAAGCAAAACATCTCATGCATCAGCATACCGAATTCGTCAGAAAACATAGTGAGTCAAATACTAGTAGGCAATAATAACAGCAAATTCAGGCAGGAGACTGCAAAAGAACTGAAGAATATGTCTTGTATTGGGCGAGCCAGCGAGCGAAGCCTGAAGAAAATCAGCACAAAACAACGAAAGAGTGGATCCAACAAAAATTTAAGGTATCTACCTGGGACGGTAAACTTCAGATGACTGCACTTCCTCGAAGACGGTCACCAAAGTTTTTAAGATATCTACCTGGGACATAGAAAGCAATCGAAGCCTTTAAGTTGTTATGTTGAAGGCATCACCTAATTAGAGTAAAACCAGCAGTCCAAATCAGTGGGCTATGAAAGGAAAGGAATCCTAAAATTCGGCACACAGCCAGAAATTTCAGTCAAGAAGAACTAACTCCAGAGAAAAATTCACTTGACTAGTGCTTCAGAGACCAAGTCAAACAAGAGCCAACCTATTCAGCTGGTGCACCCACCACCAAACACATGGAGCTAACTAGAAACTGAAAGCTCAACAAGCAGGAAGTAGAAATCAAGAATTCATGTATGATGTATGTTGTTCAGATTAAGACGCAAAGGATAATCTAAGCTTCACAAAGATAAGGCTATACCTCTGCAAGAAACTGAAGTTGAGACTTAGAAAGAGGAAGAGTTCTTGGCTATAACAGAAACCACCTAACAAGAGGACAGACAGAGCTGATCCCAAGGATTCTAAGAATGAATCAGCAAGATGAGAGAAGATTGGAATAAGAAGAACAGAGCCGTGTCTAT